GGCTCTGGCGATCCTTCCGCCTCAGCTGTCCAAGTTGCTGGAACTACAGGCGTGAGCTACCACACCGGCTGATTTTTTGATTTATTGTAGAGATGAGGTCTCACCAAGTTGCCCAGTCGGGTCTCGAACCCGCGAGCTGAGGCAGTCCACTTACCTCAGCCTCCCAAGGTGCGGGGTTACAGGCCGAGCCACCGAGCCCAGCATCACTGTTAACCTATGTAGGTAACACTAAGGTCAGTCCTCCTGGGCTGGTGTCATTCACATCCTGGCTATGGCTCCAGCCAGGGTGTAGAGGGAGATATGAAGAGGTTTGAACAGAATCTCCCCACCCCAAGTCTTTGTGATCAGCGTAGATGAGTGAGCAACCTTTTAGTCTTCCCCAGCCAGCCCACCAAGTACCAATTAAAGGAAAGAGGATAAACCTCAGCTCATTCCATGCCCAGTAGATCCACAGGCCTGACCTAGACCAAAAGAGACGCTGGCTGGTGGCAGGAAGCAGAAGGACCTCTGTGTTGGAAGAGTATGTTCCACCTAGTCATGGTGAATAGACAGGGACATCCATGAAGCTGGGGGACAAAGATGGTATGATGGTTCCTTATAGTCTGTCAAGCAGCACAGGAGAACTATTTGTCAATGTGACGTGTCTGCACAGGGGTAAGCACTGTGGGCCATCAGACAATAATGGGAGACACAGCCTGGCCTGGTCGGTCAGAGAAAGTATTTTGGAGGTGACACTGCAGCTGAGGCTTAATCTTGAAGATTGAGTCAAGTGAGGAAGGTGAAGAGGTTAAGAAAGGGCAGGTGTGGTAGCTCCCAAAATGTTGAGATGATAACACTTTGGAAGGCTGAGGCAGGAGAGTTACTTGAACCCAAGTGTTTGAGGGCATGGTGGCATACCTATAGTCTCAGCCACTTGGGAGGCTGAGACGGAAGGGTCACCTGAGCCCAAAAGGTCAAGGCTGCCGTGAGCTGTGATTGTGTCACTGCACTCCAGCATGGGTGACCAGAGTGAGAGGCCAACTAAAAAAAAAGGCAGTGGCGAAATGATTTCTATGTGAGGTAATACCTGTGTCAATTTGCTAGGTTTTGTCATTCCACAATGTATGTATACTTCCAAGCATCATGATATACACAATAAATACATATAATTTTGTCTATCAAAATACTAAGAAAAGGGAAATGTTAAGGACAAGCAACTTGGTTTCATTTTTAAACTTTTTTTTTTTTTTTTTTTAAGCTGGAGTCTCATTCTGTTGCCCAAACTGGAATGCAGTGGCATGCTCCCGGACACCACAGCCTTGCCCTACTGGGCTCAGGCGATCCTTCCACCTCAGCCTTTTCAGTAGCTGGAACTACAAGTGTGTACTACCAAACGTTAAGGACAAACAACCTGGTTTCATTTTTTATTTTTAATTGGAGTCTCACTCTGTCGCCCGGCTTATTTTTTGATTTATTGTAGAGACAAGGTCTCACCGAGTTGCCTAGGCTAGTCTCGAACCCCTGAGTTTAGGCAATTCTCTTACCTCGGCCTCCTGAAGTGCTGGGATTACAGGCATGAGCCACTGTGCCCAGCCCATTAAAAAATGTTATTTATGTATTTTTGTATGTATGCATGTATGTATGTATTTTTGAGTCAGAGTATCACTGTTGCTCTGGCTGGAGTGTAGTGGCACGATCACAGCTCACTGTATCCTTAATTTGCTGGGCTCAGGCGATCCTTCCGCCTCATTCTTCCAGGTAGCTGGAATCACAGGCACGTGTCACCACACCCAGCTAGTTTTTTGATTTATTGTAGAGATGAGGTCTCAAACCCCTGGGCTCAGGCAATCCTCTCACCTCTGCCTTCCAATGTGCTGGGATTATAGGCGTGAACCACTGTACCCGGCCGGCTCTTCTTTTTTTTTTTTTAAATGGAAATGAACATCCCAAAATAAGGAGGGGAATTTAGAGATTAAAAGGAATTTATGAGCCATATCAACAAAATCCAGGAATGTGGACCTAGTTTGAAACTTGATCCAAAGAAACCAACTGTAAAAGAAGGAAAAAAAAAAGCCGGGCATGGTGGTGTGCACCTGTAGTTCCAACTACTCAGGAGGCTGAGGCAGGAGGGTTGCTTGAGCCCCAGGAGTTCAAGGCTGCAGTGGAGCCATGATCATGCCATTGTATTCCACCTGGAGCCTGGACGACATAGCAAGACCTTATCACGAAAAAGAGACAGAGGGAAAAAAACCGGGGGCAATTTGATGCAGTTCACATTCTCCAAGATGACCCCAAGAGTCCTGACCCCTCCGTGTGCAAGCCCTTGTGTGAGTGCCCCATGCTGAAGCAGGCTGCCGTCTGCAAACAAGGAAACACTACAGAAGTGCACGTGGCTTCTGTGCCAAGGTCTTCAGAAGCACTGAGGCTTCCTCCCCGACTCCTTGGATCCTTTGCTCTGGGGGGGACCAAGGCATGGATGGGTTCCAGGCCATCTAAGCCACCTGTGGAGAGCCTCGAGGAGAGGGCAGGAGCTCCTGCCAGCTGCCCGTAGAAATGAGCAGAGCACGTTGTAAACAGGACCTTCAGCACGAAACCTTCAGGTGTCTGCAGTCTCATGAGAACACCGGGCCAGAATTCTAGCTCCTCTGCTCCTGAGCTCCTGACCCACTGAAATTGAGCGACAGCTGATGTTTATTGTTGATTGACACCACTGCATTACACAGCAATAGATAGCTGATACAGACACTGACTAGATGATTATATTAAAGGCACATTGTTCATGCATAAGGCTCATAATGTTAGTGTAACCATGTTCTCCAAAAGCTGTCTTTTATTTATTGTTTGAGTCAAAATCTCACTGTCACCCAGGCTGGAATGCAGTGGCATGATCATGGTTCACAGCAGTCTCAACCTCCTGGGCTCCGACCATCCTCTTGCCTCAGCCTCCCTAGTAGCTGGGACTATAGGCACATGCTACCACACCTGGCAGATTTATTGTACAGACGAGGTCTCGCTATGTCGCCTAGGCTGGTCTCAGACTTCTAGGCCCAAGCAGTCTACCCACCTCAGCCTTCCAAAGAGTTGGGATGACAGGCATGAGCCACACCGCACCTAGCTCCAAAAGTTATCTTTTAAAGTTGCATACCGAAATACATAATGATGTATGGCTGTGATGTCTGAGATTTTCTTTAAAAAAAAAAAAATTCATGACCCGCCTAGGCAACTTGGCGAGACCTCGTCTCTACAATAAATCAAAAAATCAGCCGGGTGTGGTAGCGCGCGCCTGTAGTTCCAGCTACTCGGAAGGCTGAGGCGGAAGGATCGCCGGAGCCCAGCAGGTCGAGGCTGCAGTGGCCGGGAGTGGCCACTGCACTCCAGTCTGGGCGACAGAGTGAGACTCCAACTCAAAAAAAAAAAAAACTGGGCGTGGCAGGGAGTGGAGAAGATAGATGAGTGGCCATGCACTTGTGTTGGCTGTCGCTAGACAGTGGACATATTGCACCATTCTGGTTTTATGTTTGAAATTTTCTCTAATTTTGTAAAAAACAAAAAGGGTATAAAATTTTGCAAAATGCAAAAAGGGTGTAATGGTCCAGGCAAGAGAAAAGATGATCTGAAGTAGAGCAATCATCCTGGAGAGGGGTGAGGTGAAGAAAAACGATGGACTGAAAGGTCCAGGCCATAGTGGTGAGTCAGATGTGGGAGTCAGATGTGGTCGGGTGTCCTACCAGGTACTTACCAGCTGTGCCAGCTTGGGAGAGTGACTCAACCTTTCTGAGCCTCATTTCCCATGAGTAAAATGGAATTAATAACAATACCCACTTCATAGCATTACTCTGAGGATTACAGTAATTAAAACAATGACCACAGTTATGTGCCACGTAACATCTTGGTCAATGATGGGCTGTATATACCACACTGCTCCCATAAGACTATAATACCATGACCTTTTCTATGCTTAGATACACAATTACCATGGTGTTGCAGTTGCCGACAGTGCTCAGTGCAGTCATGCTGTA